TATATATATATATATATAATGTGTACACTGTTCTGTCTGCATGTATGCCTACACACCAAAAGAGGGCACCAGATTTCATTACAGATGGTTGTGAGCCACCATGCAGTTAATGGGAATTGAACTCAGGACCTCTGGAAGAGCAGCTAGTGCTCTTAACCTCTAAACCATCTCTCCAACCCTATTTTCCCACTTTTTTAGTGCTTAAGAGACGTACTTGGCAATACCTTTATACTTTCAGAAGCGTGCAATCATAGCAATAGCCCTGAAAGTCCATTTACAGATCCTCAGCCTCACCCGCCTTAACACTGTGCCCTGTTTGTGGTGTATTTCTCCTTTTCTGTTTCCCTGCTTTACTTTCTGTTAATGCCCTTGACAATCAGGTGACACACGCCATGCAGCCCTCCCTCCTGTGTGAACAGCACAGTGGGATTTTCACAAGATCCTTCCATCTTCACCCATTCTGATTCCAGAAAGTTTGACCGTCCCTAAAGAAGCCCGCTATACGTGAACACGTTCCTCACGATGCTCTTCCCTGGCTCCTGGCAGTCGCTGATTTAGTGTCTGTCTGTCGCATATGCTTCTTCTGACATTTCATACAAGTGGGATTGTAGTATGTGACCTCTGATGCCTGGCTTCTTTCACTCAGCTCGGGGTTTTCAGGATTTACGTATATTTTCACAGGAGCCAGGGCCGAACTTCAGTGCTGAAGAATACCCCAGAATGAGTTAATGACATGCCTGAGTAATGCTCTTGGGATGGATATACTGCATTTTCTTTAACCACTTGATATATGCTCAGATCATTTCACTTTTGCTGATAATGCTGCAGTGAGCATTCACTTACGAGTTCTTATGTGAAAATGTATGTTTTTGGTTCTCCTGGGAGACTAGATCTAGACATCAGGTTGTGGGTTATGTGGTAACTTGGTTTAACTTTTTGTGGATCCCCATGAGTACTCATTATTTTTAATTTTTTCCTTCCTCTTTGAAAACAGGGCAGCAATGAAGGGTGGGAGTGGGGAGTACTTTTCTCAGCTCCAGATGTCCCTCCAGATGTTTAGGTAGAGGATACCGTGGTTGAAGCCTGTAGTGGAGCTTCTGTTTGGACCTGAGCATGATGCTAACCTGGAAGGAGAGTCCTTCCTTCTGTGTCTAGTGCTTTTGATGCTTTTAGCGTCCCCTTGGTGATATGGAGATTGTTGGAAGCATTAGGTGTCCTGCGAGGTAGGAATATTTCCAACTGGAATGTTATTTACCTTCATCTGTGGTTTACAAGGACCACTGGGAATCCCTTCAATAAACACATGCTTTTTCATCTTTAAAAAAGTAATGTCGAGGAGCAGTGAGGTGGCTTAGAAGGGAAGGCCCCTTGCTGCCAAGCCTGATGCCCTGGATCTGATCCCATGGTGGGAGGAGAGAACTGACCCTGCAGGTTGTCCTCAGACCTTCACCTGTGTGTCATGGTATACAGGCATGCATGTGCACATGTACATACCATGTAAATAAATGTAAAATTAAGAAGTAATGGAGAGACTGATAACAAATCCAGCATTAGTCATCCTCTTTTAAAATGGAAGGAATGTAAAACTAAATTTTGTTATCATTATTGTTCATTTCTTTTATTTATTTTGAGGCAGGGTCTCACTGTGTAGCTTTGACTGGCCTAGAACTCAGAATGTAGACCAGACTGGCTGGACCTTGTAGAGCTCTGTCTGTCTCTGCCTTCTGAGTACCACCGTGCCTGGTATATCATCATTTTTAATCTGTGACGGCAAGTCCAGACAGAGCCCATGAAAATAATATTTGTTTAGACACTTTTAGTATCTATAATAATGACTTATTCCTATAAATATTAATTCTATAAATATTACGTATTTCCCCTAATGGGGAAAAGTGAAGAATTTTAGCTTTATCTAGTAAAACATCTTTAGTCATAATGGGATCTTTAACTATCTTAAGCGTAAATCAGTGGTTCTCAATCTTCCTATTGCTATGGCCCTTTAATACAGTTCCTCATGTTGTTGGGACCCCCAACCATAACATTATTTTCCCTGCTACTTCATAACTGTAATTTTGCCGCAGTTATGAATCATAATGTAGATATCTGATATGTGGGATGTCTGATGAGTGTTACGCCTGTCCCTGCAACCTCAGCACTTAGGTGGTGTAGGCAAGAGCATCAGGAGTTCAAGGCCATCCTCGGCTACATAGTAAATTGAGGACAGCCTGGTGTACATGAGACCCTGTCTCAACAAAACAAAACATTCTTCTTAAGTTTAAGGTTGTGTGGCTCAAGGACTATGAGATCAACTCTGTCTTTAAGTAATGAAATCCTTGCTAAAGAAAATAAGTATTTTTGTTACAGAGAAGAATCCAGGAATATCCTGGCTGAAATGTTCATAATAAGACTTTGGTTAGCTAAAGTGATATTTATAAATCTTAGGATAAGCCTGGTGTGGTGGCACACACCTTTAATGCCAGCACTTGGGAGGCACAGGCAGGCAGATCTCTGAGTTTGAGGCCAGCCTGATCTACAAAGCGAGTTCCAGGACAGCCAGGGCTACACAGAGAAACCGTGTCTCAAAAAAGAAAATAACAACAGCAACAACAGAAACCCGTAGGGTAGTATAATGATTTAAATAAAAGATAGGCGATTTCCAACCATAAAGAAACATAAAGTATAAAGAATTTGTGACTCAGGCTCATAGAGCTAAAGTTCATGCTGGAGAGGCTCTGCACACACTTGTAATTTAGCCCATTAAAGTAACGTCAGCTTTATAATTTCATTAGCTCACTCTTGTAGTTGGTAGAGAGCTAACTAAAGTTGTATGTATTATATAAATATTTACTTTAAAAATTGTCATCTTTTACATATAAAAATTATATTTTGTTATGTGTTTTGCCTGTATGTATGGAAAAACTTCCAGGGATTGGAAGTGTTGATGTGTCTGGTCAAAGGGGGGGTGTGAGAAAGTCCCAGCATGGAGATTAGAGGATCCTCTCTGGATGGGACTCTGGAAGGGAAGATGTCTTTATTCAGGATACTAAGCCACATAAACAGTGAACACACAGAACTGGAATTGATTGCCTATTCCTAAAATTAGCACCAAACTATGACTTTAAAAAAAATTATTATGCATTTGAGAACCCTGATGAGAAGTCAAACTTGAGGTAAAGTTTGACATAGAGTTAAATAGGAAGACCGAGGACCCCATGTGTGTGTGAAGTGCCCATGGGGGCTAGAAGAGGGAATGAGACCCCTTAGAAATGGAGTTTCAGATTGGTGTGAGCTGCCATGTGGGTGCTGGGAATTAAACTTTGGTCCTCCAGAAGAGCAGTCAGTGCTCTTAACCACTGAGCCATCTCTCCAGCCTTTTTATTTTCCTTTTTAAAAAACTCTTCATGTGTGTGTCTGTGTCTGTGTCTATGTCTGTGGGTGGGAGAGTATGTGTGTAGGTATGTGTGTGCACCAAGTGCTCATGTGGAAGTCAGTGGATAGCTTTCAGGAGTCCATTCTTTCCTCCCAGTCGGTTCAGGATCAAATTCAGGTGTCGGGCTTGGCTGCAGGTACTTCTCTCTGAGCCTTCTTGCCAGGCTACTTTTGCTTGCTTTTGTGTTGTTCTTTGTGGTCTAGGTTGGCCTCGAACTTGTGATTGTGTGTGCACGACCACACCAAGCAAGTCACCTTATTTATACATTTAATTCATTAGACTTGTAAAAGTTACTTTAGGTACTTGAAAAAAAAATTGTGAGAAAAGTGATCTATAGTAAGGTATCTCAGAGATTTTCATGCAATCAAATATTCCAAACTTAAACTTTTGGTGGCTGCTGGGCACCATGAGCACAGTGCTGTTCAGTGTCCTGTTGTGCTGTTTCCATACGCAGTGTTGGACTTTATTAATGTGGGCTGTTAACTGTGGCTTATGTTGAGCTCTGTGAGGCCTGATTCAAAGTTACGTTGGGAAGTGTAGAATAGACCTTGTCCCAAGGCCAGGGTACTCCTACTCAGGTGGGCCTTTTGGGTCTCTGCTGATTGCTCTCAGTGTTCCAAGGGGCCTCTTCTCTGCCTGGTGGACTTTTCATGATTAGTGTCTGCAGACTGGAGGGCTGCTAGGCTGTTCTCCTCTGGCTGTCCATGCAAACGGAGTTCACCCTGTGCATGCTTGCTTACCTTTCACTTCCCAAGTGCTCCCCTGCTGTGTCCTGTGAATTCATGCCCCAGTCTCACTCTCTGGGCCTTTAGTAAGAAAGCTGAGGCAACTTGAGGATTCATTTCTCCCCTTGTCTCTGATCTTGCAGTGTCTTTTGTCTGGTGTTAAAAGATAGTACACACACACACATACACACACACACACACACACACACACACACACACACACACACACACACCTTTCAATCATTTCTGAGAACTCATGTAAAACTTTGTTTAGAAATGGGATGAATCAAGTCTGTGAAATGCTGTGCAGCCAAGCCTGCTGTCAGTAAGGAGGTGGGAAATAGAGGCCAGATAGACAGTGGGGACCCAGACATATGCCACAGAGAAGGAAGGCGAAGTCTTGGCAACCATTGGGGCGGGTGAGGGGGTGGGGGGAGCAACTCTCCTGTTGCTTGTCCATCTTGGTGTCCTTGCTTCTCTTGTGTGGGCTGTGTTGTTGTCTCACCATAAATGTTTGGGAAAGTCATGTTTTTCTTTCACTTACATTATTTGATATTTTAAAAGAACATCTTACTGTGTAGCACAGGTTGGCCTGGAGTATGCAATGTAGCACAGGTTGTCCTTAAACTTGTGTTTCCCAGCTGCAGCCTCCTGATTGCAGGGCTAGGGGAATGGGCCACCATACTTGGCATCAAATTTTGTTTACAGTTCTAAATTTGGGTATATAGAAAATGTAAGACACTTAATATGATTGATAATAAATCTGGTAAAAATGTTTCTTTTGACAGTTTAGATTTTATATTGGAAAGAAGAGGGGTTGAAATGTCTCCTTTTCTTCATTCTAGAGACATATTATTACATTTCACCGTTAGTTTGTGCCTTTTTCTTGGCCCTGACACCTATCTGGATTATAATAGCTGCCAAACACCCAGCTACCAGGACAGTGCTCCACTCGGGCTGGGAGCCCGTCATAACAGCCATGGTCATAAGCAGGTGAGTGTCGGGGGCGGGGAGGGAGAGGAGTGGTCATGTTCTGTGTAGGATGTACGTACTAAACTAGTTTTTGGATTATCCGTGAGGCATCAGTTAGCTGAATCCTAATAGGGTTGCAAAATGGAATATTAGCGACCCAGAATAACGCTGTTACATTTCTGTTGCTATGGAAAGATGTTCAGTCCACAGTTGATGAAAAAAAAGTGATCTGGGAAAGAGTAGGGATGTCCTGTGAAATGTGAACTAAGAGTCTTGTGCGATATTTGGATTTGGATAGTACGAAGATCCAAATCCAGCATGGGAGACCCTGAAGAGGAGGAAGAGGATGACAGCTGTGCCTCTGTTCTTGAGACCAGCTTTCCAGAGTGTAGGAGGACAGCGAGCATAAGGAGAGCTGTCTCTAAGAATTAGAAAAACAACTTTGTGGAATTGATTGATGGTGACTTCGTGGGTTTGATGTATGGAGAAGGGCTCACCGTCGATTGGTGGATATAGAGAGAAGGCATTTGTGAAAGCTGTGAGATGCATCCTCATCTATTGTAGAAGTCACTAAATACAGTTCTAAAACTAAAAATGAGAAATAGTGTTTATGCATGCTACTTAGAAACATAGAAGCTACAGTGGAAACTAACTTCTAGTGCACAGAGGGTCTGGGAATGTGGCTGAGAACTACTGTTGGATGATGCCAGAGCTTTTGGTCAGCTGTTTGGACTGCCAATTCTATGACAGCATGTGGATCATTTTGCTGCAGGTAGATTGCATTTCCTGGAAGATTTAGGCAACAGGTTTCTAAACTGTTGGGACAGGCAGTGTCTTACAGTGAATAAACCACAGACTGAAGGTAAACAGTTAATAAAGGATTAAATAAGCCTCCAAGTTCCACTGAGATACTGAAAGTGTATGGCTTGCCATGGTGTTATAGTAAACACTGTCTCATTTCCCAGAATTCTCAAGCTCCGCTCTTTGTTGCTTTTTGTTTCTACAGCTCTCTGGTAATAAAATTGCAGTATATCTAGTTTTAGCACAGCAGAAACCATGCCTGTAATGCCTGCTTACTTTAAAGATGAAAAGACACCTCTTTACAACTAGTTTGTAAATTGGAAGAGTAATGGATGACACGATGAAAAAAATGTTCTGATCCCAGCACTCAGGGGGCAGAGGCAGGTGGATTTCTAGGGAGCTAAGGCTAGCCTGGTCTACTAGCAAGCTCCAGGCCATCCAAGGTTATTTTATAGTGAGACATTATCTCAAACAAAATAAAACAAAAAATACTATGTGCAGAAGAATATGAAGAGACCATTAATCCCATTGTTTTAGGTCCTTAAAATAGTTAACAGTGCCTTATAGGTCCTTCTTGATAGTTTAGTGCAGTTAACATGTATAATCTGGGAATTGTGACACATGCCTCTAATCCCAGCACTTGGTAGGCTGAGGCAGGAGGATTGCGGAGGCAAAGATAAATCAAACAAACAAACAAACAAACAAAAACTAATGCACATACCTTTTATCTGATGGTTATGGTATTTATTGTTTATTTAGTGTGTTTAGTCTGTGTGTGTGCTGGTATATGTAACTGTGGAGGCCAGAGGTCAGCACCAGGTTCAGAGTGTCGTCTTCTGTTGTACCCTGTTTTTGTTTTCTATCTTAGTTTTTGAAGTGGGTACTCACTGAACCTGGAGATCCCTGATTGGCTGCTCGGCATGGCTTGTCAGCCCCCGAGATCCTTCTGTGTCTGCCTGCCACTGCAGAGATGACAGGGTCCCCGCCCACACCCTTGTTTTTGTGGGGCGTTGGGCTCTAAACTCAAGGCTTTATATAGCTAGCTCCCACCCAATGAACACCTCTCCTGCCCCCACGGCCATGTGTTGTTTCCAGCTTTTTACTGTTAGCATTGGTTTCTATGGGAATATTCTTCTTTTTGCCTCATTTTATGTTGCATAAACATTGTGCTATACAAAGTGGGGGTGTTTGAATGTCAGAACTACTTGAGATTCTTTTCCATTCTTCTTCCCTAATATGTGGTTTTCTTTCTCTTAGCATTGGGGGCCTTATTCTGGACACAACTGTATCTGACCCAAACTTGGTTGGGATTGTTGTTTACACGCCAGTTATCAACGGTAAGACTTGAAGGTACTGCCTCATGATGATGTTCACTGTTAGGGCCCCCCCCCCCCCCCCCCCCCCCCCCCCCCGTGTCTTCCTGCTCCATCCATTTCTTCTTTCAAACTCAAGATGAGCTCAGAGTGGACATTCTCTTCCACAGTCTCAGTACATAAAACACTCCTGGAAAAGAGCTGTTGCTCAATCGTTTTTGTTACATGTTTTCTTGACAGGCACACCTAACTTTTAAGGTTAATGTGACAAAATACAGTATTTGGGTTCTGAGTTGTCCGTTCCCTTTTTGACTTCCCTACTGTTCTTACATTTGCTTTTGCTGGTTATCTTAGAAGAAGCAGAATTAGCCATATAGGACTATTCCTTAAATTCATTCCATTCACCAAGAGCTGCAACTCTGCTAACATCTGCAAGCCCTGCTTCACCATTTTCTTGTCTATAAAATGGAAATTATCATCTTTGTATTAAATATGTATAATATATACATTAAAGAATCATGTTAAAATACTATGATTTTGTATGAATTATACCTAACAAGACAATTTAATCCATCTCTACTGGTGATCATTAAGTTGGACTTTAGTATAGCCTAGATCAACATAATTTAAAAAGTAATTCTACCTTGGCATACTATATATTTAGAATATATTATTTTTCTTATTTTAAGAATTCACTTTCTGTGGCCAGTCATGGTGGCACACACCTTTAATCCCAGCACTCAAGAGGCAGAGGCGGATGGATCTCTGTGAGTTCAAGGCCAACCTGGGCTACAAATCGAGTTCCAGGACAGCCAAGACTGTTACGGAGAAACCCTGTCTCAAAAAAACCACGCACACAAAAAAGAATTAACTTTCTATATTTACATAAAAATTTACACAGTGACATGTTCTGCAGAAGTCTAATTTTAGATCTAAAATTTCTGCTGAACATTGTAATTTTTGTCTACCTTTAGAATGTCAACGACATTTCCCTATGAATCTCTCTCCCAGCTGTCTGGTGCCACCATCCACCTCCTGTCATCCATCCTTGAAATTCTGGAACCATCTGATTCTGCCTGGCTCTCCTCTTTGACTCGAACATTAGCAAACCTTGTCCATTGCCCCCCCCCCCCCACACACACACATGACTTGCTTGTTCATTTGTGTATACAATGGCGTGTCTCTCCATTGCAGTCTGAGGTTGTCACACTGAGGCCGTTCATCCGAAAAATGAAGTAACCTTTCTGAGTTATTGCCTGCGCAGTGTAAATGTCACCAGTGTGAGACCTGATATTCGCAAGGAGAAAAGACCAAGTCCATGATTGTCCAACTTACACAAGCTGTATGTTGGGGTGTACCCAGACCTGGCCAGCCAGCTGCCTCCCTAGTCTGGATTTGAGAGAGCAGCCCCTGCTGGCCTCTAGAAGTCCCTCTTATGGGAGAGATAAGGCTTTTGTTTACAGGGTGAGAGGGTTGGCAACTGGGTTATACATTGTTAGAAGGATACAGTGAGGCAGGAAGGAGCAGAGGCAAGGGTGTACATCACGTGAACGGGGTTGCAAGCAGTTTTCACCAGAAACAGGAGCTCACTCTTAATTACAGGTAGAAACCCAGGACACACGGGGACTCATCCCTTAGCTAGGACTTAACCCAGGACACACGGGGGGACTCATCCTTTAGATAGGACTTAACCCAGGACACACGGGGACTCATCCTTTAGATAGGACTTAACCCAGGACACACGGGGACTCATCCCTTAGCTAGGACTCAACCCAGGACACACAGGGACTCATCCCTTAGCTAGGTCTCAACCCAGGACACACGGGGACTCATCCCTTAGCTAGGACTCAACCCAGGACACACAGGGACTCATCCCTTAGCTAGGACTCAACCCAGGACACACGGGGACTCATCCCTTAGCTAGGACTCAACCCAGGACACACGGGGACTCATCCTTTAGCTAGGACTCAACCCAGGACACACAAGAGCTTCTTTTTAACTGGCTTAGCTGCAGGTGTATTTTCTGTCTGGTCTCCACTGACCTGCAAGGCGATTGTTCCTGTTTCGGTGTCACATTGCCCGTCCATAAGCATTGTTTGTGTCCTGTCAATCAGAAGATGACTTTCTCAGTGGGTCACATCAAATCCGAATTCTTTCAAAACCCTTGGTACACTGTTGGACTCAGGGATCCCATCGGAGGCACCAAACGATTGTCATGCTGCCTAGATTCTTGTACTGTCCTAACAGAGACTCCAGCCCTCACTCCTGAATAGCTGTCTTTCCTTCCGCCTCTTCCTACTCTCTCTGTCTTTAGCTTAAAGTGTTATCGGATTGACCTGTATTGCATAACTACGGGGAACTGAAGTGGAAATGACCCGTTATTGGCAAGACTTCTGAGACTCTTTTGGTTGCTTCACCTTTACAAGGACCCGATTTAGAGCATCATGACAGGCTCTCCTTGGAGGTCTGTGCTGTTAAGTCCTTTTCTGTATGTCCACAGATGCCACAATGAGCTTATCTTAGATTAAATTCCACCTTTTGGAAGCAATGGTAGAGAAGATTCCATACTCTCAAATGGGTACAGTTCTTAGAACTGAATTGCATTTAAAACAATTTGATTAGATTTTTTTCATTTTGCTGGCATGTAAGTCCGTGCACCACATGTGTGCTTGGTGCCCACAGAGGTCAGAAGAGGGCACTGGATCTCTCAGAACTGGAGTTCTGGATGCACCACCACAACCTAGCTCCCAGTAAACATTGGATGTTTGTGAGCCACCATGTGGGTGCTGGCAATTGAAACTGGTTCTCCTCACAAGCTCTTAACCACTGAATAATTTATAAATATGCAAGAGATGTGTTGCTTCTCCTCCCCTTCTCCTCATAATCTAATATTTATTATGTATCTACATAAGTGTCAAGTAACTGTAAGTCTTTAATGCATGTTATACATAATCTAATCCTCATGTAAGTAATTAGTCCACGATTAAACATCTAGTGAATGTGGTGAGTCAAAACTTCAAAGCCAGATCTTCCCAAACCTGCAGTTTCCTTTCTCTCAAAACATACAGCTACTAATTTATCCGATACACATATGCATGTGTTTAAAGCAAAGCTTATCTGTGTTGATGTGACCGAGATATCATTAAATGTTTACATGCCTCAGAACGAGTAGCATTTTAAAAATCATTGGTCACACTTGCTCTGTAAGACATTAGTAAGTACGATTTGAGAAGTGAATTCTGTGGTCAATTAAGTTTGGTAAAATGAAGTTAACAGAATTCTTGACTACAGGATATCGTAAGCCGTTATTGGGCTAACATCTTCTGTGGTACTTTTCATTACTTCTACTGGAAGTATTGGAGTGTCTGGATCTAGCCTTCTTTCTACCCGAGACCATGCATGATGAGCTACTGAACTAGGCATTATATAATATTTATTTACTTATTTACTTACTTATTAGGCAACTGGAGGCTGAGCCCAGGGCCAGGCATGTGCTCTAGGTAGTAACTCTGTCACTGAGATTTAGCCTCAACCCATAGTCTATTTTCTTTTTAAATATTTTATTAATTCTTTGAGACTATCACACAATTTTGATCATATCCAATCCCCACTCCCTAACTACTCCCAGATCCCCCCCCCATTCCTACCTCCCATCCTTCATATTCTTTTTTTTTCCTTTTTAACAATCTATCACCTCTAATTTGTGTTGGGGTGTGGGGCATCCACTGGAACATTGTCAGTTTACCAGGAACCACACTGTCTTAGTTAGGGTTTCTATTGCTGTGAAGAGACATCATGACCACAGCAACTCTTATTAAGGAAAACATATACTTGGCGTGGCTTACATTTTCAGAGGTTTAGTCCATTATCATCATGGTGCAACATGGTGGTGTACAGGCAGACATGGTGCTGGAGGCGAAGCTGAGATTCCTACATCTGGACTTGCAGGCAACAGGAAGTGATCTGTCTCACTGGGTATGGCTTGAGCATATATGAGAACTCAAAGCCAGCCTCCACAGTGACACACTTCCTCCAACAAGGCCACACCTACTCTAACAAAGACACACTTCCTAATAGTGTCACGCCCTTTAGGGGCCATTTTCTTTCAAACCACTATACACACCATTAAAGAAAACTGACTTTACCTACTCCAGAATTCATTACTGTCCATAACTCCTCAGTTAGGGGTAGAGGCTCATGAACCCCTTCCCACACTATGCAAGAATGTTTACTGGGAGCTAGGTTGTGGTGGTGCGCACCTTTAATCCCAGCACTTGGGAGGCAGAGGCAGACGGATCTCTATGAGTTCAAGGTCAGCCTGGTCTACAGAGCGAGTTCCAGGACAGTCAGAGGTGTTACACAGAGAAACCAAAACCAAACAAACAAAAAATGTTGACTGGGGTGTGTTCAGGCGACACAGCTACTGTGAGTTCATGAGTGCAGCTGTCTGTCCTGTGCAGAACACACTTAGTCTGTTCCCCCGGACCTTTGATCTTGCAATCTTCCTGCCCACTCTTCCAAAGTGGCTCCTAAGCCTTGGGGAAAGGATGTGCTATGGATGTCCCACTTGTGGCCGAGTATTCCACTGACATTTGTCCTCTGTACTTTGACTAGTTGTCAGTTTGTCTGGAGGCCCTGCTGATCTGTGGGTAGAGTGATGCAAATGTAATGAGAGGGCAACTCCATCCTTTGTCCTTTTAGCCTGTACACTCCCAGACATGGATTCTTGCAAGATTGATAGTACCAGCCATGTGTCTCTTCCTGTGGACTGGTCCTGAAATCCAAGCAGAAGGTGGTTGGTCACTCATAGCATCTGTATCACATGGGCACATCTTGCATGTGATACAGATGCTATGTATCTTGCACAGTCTTTATTGCAGTTCACAAATTGCTAGCAGGATAAGATGGTTGCCGACTCCCCCCGTCAAGCAGCCCACGTCACACTTTCCAGGACTGTGAAACCAGCCAGAGGGAGAGAGCTCCCTGGGTCAGCCCCAACTTGATTCCTCCAGTTCTGTCTCCAG